TTATTTGAATGGAGGAGCATATGCATGAATTTCATTTCGAATACAGTTATGATTGGACTTGAACAATTTTCCCTGACTTCCAATGACAAGAAAATACTGTAAGGGACTGTAGCATGGATTTGATAGTAGCAAGTAAAACCACCAACTAAAAAACAAAGAGGAGAAGGGGCTTCCACAAAAAGGCATTTGATTAATTCTATTTATATATACTATGGTGCACACACCATATATGTTTGTGATTCTTAAATCCCATCTCTGACAAAATGCATAGAATTAATGGCAAGCAAAAGGGTCCTTTGCTTTTTGTACAAATTAGGAGTGCAAAAATTGAAAAGCTGATCCACATTTTTCTTTGCTTCACGTGTAGTTTGTGATTTGATGTGCTTAGAAAAATCCGCCTTCTCTACTCTCTACCCCCTTTGATTCCTCTTTATAATATTCATTTTCTGCCCTTGGACTACTTAAAAGGGCCTCAATTATCACTACATATTCTCTCGGTTTATATTTCTCGTGATGTTACATTCCAAGTATTTAAAATGGAGGTTACAATACTATCATAATAAAATTTTTATGTTTGTTTTCATTAATTTAAAAACAAAAGTATGTAGCTCGGTTATCACATGGAATATAAATATTAAATAAGTCATTTTTACAAGAAATATTCGTTTATACTCTAAGAACAATAGTATTCGATCATCATTCACATCTTTTAATCAGTGGTTTTTTTAAACCAAAATAAGAACTAGTATGTAACTAAATTAATATACTATTTCGATAGCACATGTATACTACTAATGAATTTCATTTTAGTATATTAATATATTTCTTGATATAAGAAAAAATAATCATTTTATTTATTCTTGTTCACCAATTAATTATTATTTTATTATAAACATTGTTGTCATATATTGTCAATATTAATATTTACAAAAGTTACAGAATTAGCCTTCTTTTTTATGTAATAAAAATATTTAATGTAAGTTAGTATTATTTATTAATATAATTAATTTAAAATTATGTAAACAATATTAAAATAAACTATTGTGTATAAATGTTTTACAAAATACATACATTTTTTTTAAATTCAAATTTTCATAAAAACAAACAACGTTAATTTAGCAATTATAAAAAACTAAATCCCTTCCATTGTCAAGAAATTTTTCTAATTTGCATTGTTTTTTAAGTTTCTTTTGTTATTTTAGGTATTTTTGTGTTCCTTATTTGTGCTCGTTTTTATTAATTTTTAGGTTTTTTTGAATCATTTAGTCGTTTATACTCGTTTTTATATTCTCGTTTTGTTTTTGTGATTTGTACATTTTCTGTATCTTTCTATACTTTCTTTTGTAGGAAAATGCTCTTCGAAGATATGCTTGATGTCATTGGAAAATCATTGAGAAACGCACTTAAAAGTTGCAGAAAAATTTTGGCCTAATCAACACCCGGTAGACTCGTGCCCAGCGAGCCCAACACTGGTCAGACTGTTGGATCAATAGCCTGGATGAGTTGATTAGTGATGTTGTGTGTATGGTGAGTTGTTTGAATATTCATTTCACCGTGTGCCTTAGTCTGATAATGTCCCTGAAGCGAGCTCAAGAATTGTTGTATGCCTTCCAGGCAGATTGAACTTTGACATAATAATAAAAAATTGAGTGGTACTAGCTTCTGTTCAAAAAGTCCATTTATTATATTGTTATTGAATAAATTTACTGACAAACATTATATATTAAATATGTGTAGGTAAATCGTGTAATTGTGATTTGATCTTCAAATGTTATTTAAGAGCTAAATGGGGAGTGCAATAATATTTTTTCAGTGGACTCAAATATTACTCAAGTATGAGCAGAGTGGACTTGGATCACACTTCGACTCATACTCAGAAAACCCATATTTAGCTCATTCATAGAGTCCCTGATGTAGCCTATAAATACACAACATCGCTTGGGAGTTACAATTACATGCCAAACACAAGAGTTCTTATGAGTTTTCAATCCTAGTCGAGATATCTCCAAGATCGTCGTCCACCATAAAGAACAAAGAACGTGTCGGGCATACAACAGAAGTCTCGAGGTAATTCGAGGCTGAACATACACTCGTATGACCATTAGTGACCCCGTACCAACACTGCGTGTCAGCCGCAGTTGAGCAACGAAATTGCGCGACCCAGCCACAACCAGCCCAGACGCATGTGACGCCGCAGCCTACAGCCAGCGCGACCCGCACGCAGCGACCGCGTGCCGCACGTCCGCAACGTAGCGACCGCGCACCGCAAACCCGCACACAACGACCGCTTACAGCACGCCCACAGCTGCAACCTATAACGCTTGGCGACATGCGCGACCCAACGACGCACGTGATGCTCCTGCGATTCCCGATGAGTTGCGAGGATCAAGCACAAGATTGAGGAAGGAGGACGAAGGCGATAAGAACATCTCAGAACCATTCATCTGGTACCGTAGGCCATGTAGTCGTCTCAGAGTCTGCAAATTTTTTAAGTCGTAAGTTTTGTATCCACGCTTTAGATCCGATGCGCTTAGGCTTATTTTTTTAGACTAAATTTGTTATTGCACAATATGACTGTTCGCAAAATATTTTCACTATCCGCAAGTGTACGGTTTAGCTGTAGTGAGTGGCGAGCAAGGTCGTATTCCACAGAGATTGTTGTCAAAATAACTAAGTATCAAAATGTAAACGGTTAAATATTATTCAGTCTAATGCAAATTTATATGGTGATTTTATTCTAAACTAATGAATGATTGCAAAATATATTCTAACACTAATGAAGGCTTGTTCTAAGATAAATCAAGAATGAGAAAATAGATTCTAGGCTATGCTTTCCTCGGGATTATTCTAACAAAGATTTCCTATTCATTCAAACCTTATTTAATTCTACCATTCGTAGGGATAATCACTAAAGTAATTTACACCTTTCTCTCGAACAAGTTAAATCGTAGATATTAATTGTTATCTATCTCCTCTCGGTCTCAAGATGAACAATCAACTCCCATAAGCTCCTAAGATTCTAGTTCCCTCGCAAGATTCTATCAACCTCTCGGTCTGTTTAGTCTCTTACGTTATGAATTTCCCAATTCTAGCAATCAACTATCTCCTCTCGGTCTCAAGTCAATCACAAATATGCATAAATACGGGCCCTTATATTCACACAATTAATAAAAGCACAAGAAATTGATAAACGAATGATAAACCGGAATGAATAAACAAAATCACTTCATAAAATAATCTGAGTACTCGCAAATCCTAGAATCCCTAAAAGTTTAGCTACTAAACATATTCTCAAAACTCAAAATAAATAAAACCATGAGTTCAATGAAGAAGAAAAAGAGAAAAGAAAGAAGAACTATTGTCGCCGTTAGTTCCCAAATCTTCAATCTTGACTTCCTCGAATCCCTTGTGTGTTTCGTACTTTCTTTAGGCCTCCAATGGTGTCAAAAGTCCCAAAAACGAGTTCCTAAGGCCTCTTTTATACTGTAGGGTCATTCTGAGTCGAAAAAGGAAAGAAATCGCACAAGAATCCTATTCCCCGCTGAACTAGTTTGCGCGTCACACGAGTCGTGTCACATGCCACACGAGTCGTGTGACTTTTCTCAACGTTTCGGCAAACTTCTAGACTCACACGACCACCCACACGACCGGGTCACACGAGTCGTGTGAAGTCACATGACCCGTGTCTCAACCCACACGACTCGTGTGAAAAAGCCGTAGCAGCGTCTCTAATTTCCTCAACCCACACGACCCGTGTCACTACCCACACGAGTCGTGTGGCCTCTTCTGCACCCGTTTTTGTCGTTTTTCGTCCCGATTCCATTTCCAACGCATTTCCGGGCATATTTCCTGCAAACCAACGACAAAAGCACTTCTGTCATATATTAATAAATAAAACAAAATGGTGCACAATCACACGATAACCATGGCCTAATATCACAATATATCACTCATAATGCATGAAAATATGATGAATGTCAATGACGTTCCTTATAAAACTCAAACAAATGATATCAGAGCACTCGGTTTAATACGTTTTTGTGAAAAGTTCAGATTTTTTAAGGCTTATGTGCATAACGTGCGTTCAAAGCAAACCCATCTTTGGATTATTGCATAACTTGATTTTGCAAGCGTATAATTAATCCTTTGTTATGGCCTCGAATGCATGATCTATTTTTATGCACATTTTCTTAAGCCTCGAACATGTCAAAGATTTTATGGGTTGGAGAGTACTTGTATTTGTTTATTAGCATGGTGGGACACCATATATTTACTGTTTTCATATATGATATATTAAAATAACCATCTATTAGCTATTTTGATTTGATATCAATACTGCATATATAATATAAAAATAGTTTCATATGTGTTTATAAATAAAATGTAAATTTATTTATCATACCAAATGAGAAATATCAAATAAAATTATAAATTAGTTCGTAAAATATCAAAAATAAAACTATTAATATAACATTAACAACCATTTTAGCATATTTTTTTTAATATATCTGAAAAAAATTGTAGAAATTGAGTATTAACAAAAAACTGAATATGAAAATATTCAAAAAGAAAAAAAAAACGTCTCGACTTAAATAAACTATATATAAAGTTTGAATGTTATTGTGTTGTAAATAAAAAGTACGAATGAATATCACATTTGTATATATTAATGTATATTTTAAATTATCAAATATTATTATTTTAAAATACTTAATATATAATATATGAGAAATCAATNTTATTGTAAAAGTATCATTTTTTTCAAATATCCTTCTAGTATACGGGTATCGTACTAGTTTAGTAAAACAACAATGAGGTTTGTTATATGAAATTGATAAATATATAGGTAATATAATACAAGTACAAAAGTATCAAAATGAATACTTGAAAAATATTTTTTTGAGTTTGAAAATTAATTAGTATTTGATATTTGAGATATAAGATTCCGAAATGTTGCAGTGGGAAATGAAATGCATCAATTAAAACGGCCCATCAATCGGCCCAAAGTAAATTAACCAAACGGAGCTCAAACTATGCGGGTGGTGGAGAGTGGCATAGAAGATGAAGTCCATTGGGTTCCTCTCCTCCATCCTGCACCCCGTTTTATCCCTCCGATCAAAACCAGTTAGACTCGCATTCTGCTCCTCCGCCCTACCGAAACCCCAGGTTCCAATCTACCTCCGCCCGCCGGCATTTCGCGCCCCATTCTCGGAGCTGAAAAAATGGCACAATTGGGCCGAGGACAGGGCCTCCTCAGTGGGTTCCACCTTCTCGGACCTGGACAACGGCCCTGACTCCACGCTCCTCCACCGGGAGCTCAACTGGCTCGTCGAGGACGCGCTCGAACAACCCGCCGCACTGCTTTCGCCCCGGAGTTCCGGCGCAATATACGGGGATGACTCTCCGGTGCCAATAAGGGTGCGTTTGGACGAACTTTACAAACTGTGGACGCAGAGGATTGAAGAAAGGAGGCCGTTTCAGTACGTGGTGGGCTGCGAGCACTGGAGGGATTTGATTTTGAGCGTTGAGGAAGGGGTTTTGATTCCACGGCCCGAGACCGAGATCATTGTGAACTTGGTCGAGGACGCTGTTAAGAGTAATGGGGAATTGAAAAACGGTATGTGGGCGGATTTGGGAACCGGAAGTGGGGCACTTGCTATTGGGATTGCCCGGGTTTTGGGCCCGGCTGGCGGCAAAGTGGTGGGTGTTGATTTGAGCTCGGTGGCTGTGGCCGTTGCATCGTATAATGTTGAGAGGCATAATTTGCAGGTTAGCTCACTGTTTGTAGTTTAGCTAAAATTATCGACTATATAATTTTTTGTATGAGTAGTTTGTGTTCATTTTGATTCTTATGGGGAAAAAACTTTTTAGGTGTTTTGTTAAAATTTTTAAAGATTTTAGACTAAAGATTTCTGCAGAAAGATGTGGTGAAATGCTGCTTTTTCACTTTTTCTTTGTAATGGTCATGGAGACCTTTGGTCTCAATATCAGTCCTTGTTTTGGATGTGATCAACAAGGTATTTCTGTACAATTCCCATTAGAATATGTCTAATAATGTGGATATATGTTAAAAATTCTTGCTTTCTTGCTCAAGTTTGAATGTTTGATGACATGGTGGTAGTAAAGGAATGACTGACAAACCTGGGAATATATGTATTCAGGATAGGATTTCAGTGAGGCTTGGGTCGTGGTTTGATCCTCTGAAGGATGTTGTAAGGGAACTCAGTGGACTGGTGAGCAATCCACCGTATATCCCGAGTGAAGATATTGAGGGGCTACAAGCTGAGGTTTCTAGACACGAACCAAGACTCGCGCTGGATGGTGGAGCAAATGGGATGAATCATCTAATCCAACTATGCAATGGAGCTGCTTTGGTGTTAAAATCAGGTGGATTTTTCGCGTTTGAGGTAACAATCGATATCTTTTCTTGATGCAGTGGAGATTCTTTGAAGAATGAAAGCATGAGTCTTATTACTTTCTGAAATAATTCATAAATGTTGGTTCTATGAGAAACGTAAGATATATTATATGTTTGAATAAACACAATTAATTCCTACGCGCAACGGATTTGAGAGTAGGATTAGTTCCGGACAAACTAGCCACGTGACTTGAAAGTCTTTTGTTGTATTGCTTCACCTCAATCACGTGCTGTGTGGGCCACGATCTCCCAAACTCGTGTGGCCGACGTCTCCTTCTCTCTTGCTCACTCAATGTCACATTTCTCTCTCTTATGAGAGGTGTGTGTTTTTTGAGTTATTGACCAAGAGAACGAGACCCTCACATAGTGTGTTTATAGGCTAGAACATGAACGAGGTTAGAGTTAGATGATAAGAACAAGAATATTTGAATTATCGTATACCCTACTCCATAGCACATCAATAATAAATCAGTCCACTAAAAAATTATTATTGAACTACCTCTCTCCATGTTTATGTTATGGTACGTCTGTTAATTTACTTAATTACTACAATTTAATTAATTAACATCTTGGTTTTCTAAAACTAGTATCACTTAATCTTATTATTACGCTGGAACTTAATCCACGATGGTTTTAACAATAATAATTTTTTAAGCTATTCGGCGACGGCATCGTCATCACAGGGTTTAACAATAATAATCTTTTTGAGTTCATTCGGGGACGTTATTGTCATCACTCTGGCGCATAAGAACATAGTAGCCGAAGCTAATCAACAACACACCGTGTAAACTGCCAAACTCACCAAGCCCGTTGACTTAAAAGATAAGTCTCAATCATTTGATGAATGAAAGGAATAAATATTGAGTACATGACTACATGTGCCTGTTATTATCATCAAGTTTTAGAGTACGAGTGATATTATGAGGTAAAATTTATTTACTTGGTAAATGTAAAATAAACTTCTCCTCTGATAGTTTGAGAGTTACAATTCAATACGCACAAAGTGTACACGTATAATTTATTAGTTAAGATAAACTAACTCAAATTATATTGTAATCATACTGATAGGTTTTGCAATTTCTATGTCGGTTATGAACCTTATTTTTATTGCACAAAGAACCGAAAATATGATTTTATGTGCGACGATGTGACATTTAAACTAAAACAGAGCTTTTAGTATACCGACCAACTCTTTTAGATGATACGTTCTAATTCCTTGTTCAGTAGATACATTGTTCTCCTCTTGAACACCAGAATACCTAACTAACTCTATTTATAAGAATGATATTGATAATTGGAGTTGTGATGTATACTGAACTTAGGACGACATGTTTCTTTTATACATATATTTAAAAAAACCAGGCCCTATACATAAAGGCAAACCCTGTATTTAGTTGCTTTTTTTCTCCCCGTCCTACTTAATGCCCGGTCTCAAATTTTATATGGCTGTGAAAATATACAATAATTCATTCTCTACGAGAAATATGCAACTGGAAAGGAATCAACGACTGTTGACTTGTTTGTTTCACTGCCTCTTGAATTTTTGTTTAAAAAAATAGTAAAAAAATAGAAGTGTTGAGGATGGTGTGTCTTGGATCTTGGTGCTCTCCTTAAATGGGATGATGACACTCATTTTTCCTTGCTGCAGACAAATGGTGAGACGCAGAGCAAATTTCTTGTGGATTATATGCATTCAGCAGTTGAAAGAAGCTTCCGTAACGTGAGTATTGTGTCTGATTTTGCCGGAATCCAAAGATTTGTGACTGGATACAGAGCCTGAGGAGAATCTATATATTTGTAGTGCGCTCAAATTGTATTTGATTGAGTGTGGGGGCTTCTGGTTTGGTTTTTGGCTTGGTTTGGTCTCTTGAAGGTAATATAGAGTTTTTGTCTTTACACACTAGTATGTGGCCCGTGCGATGCACGGGAAACAATATTATGATTATATTATAAATTAAATATATAAATAACATTAATCATGATTCATCCATTGTTTTTAAATCAAATCGGGTTGGACAAAGTCCGACTGGATGGACCGAGAACCGCTTTATAACCAGTCTAGTTCGTTTGAATAAAATATTTGTTATCGAATCCGTCAACACCAATTGGTTGGATTAGTAGAATCGATATGATTTTCTAAATAAATTTTGTTACATTTAAAATTATTTTAAATAAAAGTATATATTTAAATAAAATAGAAATTTATAAAAATTTGATCAATTAGTTTAAACATTTGAATCTATAAATTGTTTAGATATTTAAGTAACACATTTTATTTGAACTTATTACAAAAAGTATTCTATATATATTAAAATGTTTATAAATTAGAATCGGATTAAACCAAAAATGATTTAGTAAAATAACTTGATCGTATAAATATTTATCATTAAACATGTTCTTATTGTTAATATGATTATTTGAAGTTTGGACAATTGAACTACATCACATTCACGTAATAAAGTATTTTCAATATTAAAATTTATATTTAAGTTCAATTATCGATTTGGTATGGTCAAACTGATTCATAACTTAGTCACTTGGACCATCCAAGTTGTGTCAAATTTTTTTACTATTTTAAATATTACCTAAAAGTAATTCAATCAACATGGACATTATCATAATTCAATCACCCGATTGATCCAAAGAAATTTTCTTACTTTATTTAAATATATTTAATTCATTAAATAAAATTATTTTATGATTCATATAATAAATGTCTAAACCAACTGATAGTATATTAGGATTATAATTATATATCTAACGATGAATTATTTATTTTTCTTTGTGTATTAATAAAAAATAAACATAGTAATTTTCAAAAAAATTAAGATTAATTGATAGATTATAAAATTAAAGAATATTTTTAGCGTTCAAATTTTTATTTTTTTTTTAAAGGACACAAATATAAATACCGAGATTCTAAAACTTTTGTTATATTTCGAATTGAGATTTTTTAAATATAGAGAAGGAGATTTTAATGTTGTTCGTTGTTTCTACGAAAAAAATAAAAATAAAAATGTGCACACTTAACAGATCTTAGCTGGATTTTTTAAATAATAAAATAGACTACAGCTCGAAATTTAAGGTAGCATTTAATACTGTATGATTTTGTAAAGAAAAAAATAAGAAAAATAATAAAAGTTACTATTTGTAAATTATGTATTATATTGAAAAAAAATTGAATTAAAAAATTATACTTGTAAGTTTTATGCATTTTTATTTATTGAAACTATGGGCAGTATACTCGACTATACATTAATTATAGATATATTCTAATTTCTCTAAATTACGGATGTATACAAACATAAGAAAAAGAAAGAAAAAAAACACAATGCTATAATTTTGGAAACATGCGTGAGATTTGTGAAGCTATTATTACGTTTTTTGTTTTCTAAATCCACAATTTAGGCTGCATTTAATGCTTGGCAATTTGATGTTTAAAAAAATTCAGAAAAATTCCAAAAATGGCATGCAATTAATATTGTTAAAGTTTTTACTTACTATTTTTGGTAAATAGTAATTCTTATCATATATATATAGATATAGATTAGGCACACTGAACAGAAAAAGGGGATTTGCTGAACTTGGATTTCATGAAATAAATACAAGATAAACATATAATGGATATCTTGGACATGAATATCAATAACATTCAAAAAAGTATAACTTGAAAATCATTGTTTGTTATTCACTTTGCATATTCAGTATACATTTTTTATGGCTGTATTAGTTCTTGAGCCCGGATTCAAATTGTGTGTACTTAAGGGTGAACATTTCTTTGAGTGACGTTGACAATCGATCAAATTCGCATAAGCGTATTTGCGCCTTCATATTTGGATATCAATTCTCCACGGTGCGAAACACAGAGAACATATTTTAGAGAGGGTTTACACGAATCTAATTCAAAGCTTCAATCAAGTCTCATAACAAGGTAGGAAAGATAAGCACTATATTCAAAGCTCAAGAGAAGCGTAAAAAAAAGTTCAAAGCTACCAAGCCAAGAAAAATAGGTTATGGGGCTGACGACACTATTCTTTTCTGCAAAGCCAACCTTGCTCATGCCAACCTTGTTATGCATATCCTATCTGTTTATGGGGCTGACTCTGGTCAAAGGGTTAACACTGATAAATCCTCTATCTTCTTCTCTAGAAACACCTCTGAAGAAACAAAATCAGCTATCTGCAATGTGTTTACAGGAATCTCTAGAGTGAGTTCAACTAAATACTTGGGGCTGCCCCTTGGTATTGGTAGAAAAAAAAAGAGAGATTTTTTCTTTTGTGAGGGAGTGTGTCATTCAGAGACTTAAGAGTTGGAAAAACAAATTCCTAAGCGAGGCAGGGAGAGAAGTGCTTATTAAATCTGTTTTATCTGCTTTGCCTACCTATGTCTTCTCTTGTTTCAGGGTGCCTTTGAGTGTGATTGATTCTATCTGCAAAGAGATCTCAAATTTCTGGTGGGGATACAATGAAGCTGGAGGCCCTAAACTCCACTGGGCTTCTTGGGACAAATTGGTGAAACCTAAAGAAGTGGGAGGGCTGGGTTTCAAGGACCTAAGGGCTTACAATGAAGCACTCTTGGTTAAGCAACTCTGGAGGATCACCACTAAACCAAACCTACTGATCAGCAGGGTACTCAAAGGGAGGTATTTTAAAAATCAAAAACTTGATGATGTGGTGGCAAAAAATGGGGACTCATGGCTTTGGAGGAGCTGGTTGGGAGCCAGGAAATTCTTAAATTTGGGTGCAAGGTTTCAAGTGGGTGGTGGCTACAACATAAACATTTGGGAATCCCCTTGGATCCCTAATAACTCAACCTTTAAGCCTTATTGTCACTTCCCAGAGGACAAGCTCAGACTGAATTTGGTGAGTGACCTCATTTGTCAGGACACTTACTCTTGGGACAGGGACTTGGTGTGCCAAACTTTCAATCCTGCCGATGCTCAACTTATCCTTGACATCCCCTTAAGGCAACATGGGGGCAGGGATTACCTAATTTGGCATTGGAACAAAAAAGGAATTTTTACTGTTAAAGATGCCTATAATGCAATTCTGAAAGCCCTTCAGTCCCCAAACCCTGCTTCCACTGTGAGCTCTAGTGGTTTCCCCAAAACTATTAGTAAGATGTGGTTATTCACTTGGAAATTGCCTCTGAAGAACAAAATAAAAAATTTTATCTGGAGATGTTGGAATAATCTTGTGAGTGTTAATTCTAATTTGTGGAAAAAAGGGATTCTTGTTGACCTGACCTGCAGGGTGTGTGGTGATGGTATGGAGGACTTAATGCATGTTTTATTTTTCTGTCCCAAAGCAAAGACCTGCTGGAAACTTTGTGGTCTTCAGTGGAATATGGGAGAAGACAGCTCCACCTGTTTTCAACATTGGTGGTCATCCATCTGACCAACTGCAAATTTGACAGAATCTGCCTTTCTGCTCACCTAATTTGGAACCTTTGGCGTGCCAGAAATGCCTGGGTGCTCGCGAAAGAGAAGTGGCTGGAGAAAGCTTTAGTGTCGAGTGCACAACATGAATGGTTAGAATACTCGGGCCTTACTGACACCATCTCCTCACAGGAAGAGTTTCACAATTCAGACAACATCCATCAAGAACAGTTTTCCAGGAAGGTAGGACGCTCGAGCTTACGCGTCAGTGCCTTATGTTCTAATGGTGTTTATGAAATTTGTTGCACTTCATTAACGGAAGGTAAAGAGCTGACAAGCAGGCACTCTCATTTGGAGCAAGCAGACAGCCTTGAGGAAGCTCTTATACAAGCTGTCAAGTGGAGCTTACAACTAGCAGCTTCGTGGAATTGGAACAACTTTGATTGCTTTCTTCACAGCAAATCAGTGGTCGAGAACTTGCAACAGAAATCAGTTTCCTATCCGGCTTTGTCTGCTATCATTCAAGATATTTATGCTCTTGTTAACTCTTTTAACATTTGTAATTTTATTTATTCTCCTCCTTCTTTGTAATCTATTTTTGGGTGTGGCGATTCAGGGGTCCTGGTGACTTCCCTGGAGGTATTCTCTTTGTTTCGTTAGGAAAGGGGAGTATCCTCTCGACCATTTGGTTGATCGATTGTAAGACTATCTTTGAGATTTTATAATAGTTTGTCGTTTGGAAAAAAAAAAAAAAAAAAAAAAAAAAAA